GGGGAGGATTTTACTATCTTTCTGAGAAATGTCCATCTTGGCCGACTACAGTAAAATGTACTTTGTGTACGGTGGACCGCCCCACTCACTTCCTACTGCATTTTGCGTACCATTGCACACGGTGTGCATAAGCAACCCGGAGTGTTATCTATAGTTTGTCTCTGTATATTTCCGCAGTATGGCATTTGATTCCGAATAATGTAAACACAAAAAGCAATCAATCGGTAGGTAATTCAATTAATGATGCATCGAACCCAGCAACGTAGATTTTCGAGAATAACGACGCTTCCGACCGATGAACTGTTATTACTCTATTAAGTTCTTTTACATTAGAAAAGTGGAATCACCAATGGCCTCCTGGTCTGATCGGTAGGATCAGTGCCCTCATAATCGCACACACACATTCGTCCTATCATGTGACTTGAACTTAAACCAGGTCATGTCCTTTTATCCCCGGTTTATTCATTCACACGCGCTATTGAACGGTCGAATAGGTTGCACGATCGAGCAAGAGGACAAGGGAAAGTGTTGGTGCTGTCACTCCCGGATCCGATTTTGTTTGTTGACCCAGCCCCTGGATCATATGGGTTTTCTCTTTCATGCATGTGATCCGCCTAAGCTGTTGTCCAAAACGCATATGTAGTTTGTTCTGAATAACTCTAGCCTGGGAGAGAGACGAAGCGGTAGCAATGAACAGTTGAAGAAAAATGAAAACATTACTGCGCACTCTACCGCTGGCAAATCAGATTCGTCTATATGATGCTTGACAAGGTCAATCAAACAGTAATAAACCTTGGTACATTGGTATCTGTAATCAACTAACTAGTGCTTCTCTTCAACTTCTATTTACGGTATTCTCATGCAAAGTGAAATGAATCCTCTTTTCAAATAACCTTCTGGCTTCACAGGTGTACTCTACTCATGGTTCCCGTTCATTTAAGCCTCAAACCACGGTAGTACGCCTCGCGTGAGTAATCTCATTGCTCGGACACCATCATGAAATCTGTTTCATCCCTCATAAATCTGACCATCAACTTCAGCCAATCACGTGATAAAATGCACTTCCCCCTTGCTTTCTTGCCCCCTTTTCTATACACGCTCTCCTGACAGTTAGCTCAAAGTTGTGCCACGCACATACTCGACTTAATGTCCCTATGTTGGTCCAACGAACCCGATCTAAGGCCCTCGGCGACGGCTATGGTTCAGTTGACTTCACCCTGGTGGCGTACCGATGATTCGGGAACAGCAATTTCGGGCATCCACAATCCGCTGTACGCGACCCGGACACGACCAACAGCACCGCCAGATACGGGGACTGTGGAACCAAACGGTCTGTGTTATGTTCGTACGGTACATCGCATTTGCTCAATGGATGTAGTCACATGCGCAGCTTTGGGTAAGTCTGCACAGCATGTTTATGCAACTGTATTTTGTTTATCTGTTAACGTTAAACTTAGTGTGACGAATAAATTATGGTTGGGGGAATCTACCGTTCAGTTAAATTAATTGGTAATCGACACACACGATCACTGTCTGCTGTTTGTGATTAGCGTAAACACTATGGCATCCATACGGCCTTTTCTTAGCTGGACACAAGTACAAATACTTCACTGTTTTCTCCTGTGCCAAAGCAAACTGCAATGGATCATGTGATGGGTAGACAGTATCAGAATGAGACTATCTATGTGTCGCCATCAAGAAGGTTTCATTTTTGCCTTATGTCGATTGGTTTCCATCCTTCTAAGATTGGTATCAGAGCAGTGAATGATTTGATTTGTTTAAATGATGAAATCGTCGTGGGCTGAAAACCTGGGAAGCACTGGACAGCTTTCTCGACCTGTTTCATCAGTGCGAATCCATCGACCCAACTGGGATCGAACCCGGGACTTAGAAAAGCTGAGTTGTGCTACATCGTGTATATTCGTATTGAGAAACGGTCTGCTCAGCTACCCTGTGGTCGAGTGGGTAGTATGCTTGCGTTATATATATGAGGTCCCGGGTTCGATCCCCAGTTGGGTCGATAGATTCGCACCGCTGATGGGACCCAACCAGGTTGAAACATCTGTCTAATGCTTCTAAGATCCCTCTATTCGTGCTCATCGAGATGACCGACCTACACAGCACGTATACCACACAACTGCCTTGGAGTTATCTCCTTAACTCAAGGTGGCCCGTTCGTCCCTCCTCCCGTTCTTATTTTTTCTCCTACCTGGTGACCACCAAGATTTCTGCGAACGTTTCCCCGGTCTCATAAACATCCACCCATATGACAGGATTTCTATGATCATGGTGGTTGACTTTTCCCAATCACCATGTGAATAAACGCATGAAAGGACTAAGCACTGGTTGGATAGAAATCCCCGGCTCGTCAAACCTTAGTATGTAGGCTCATGTTTGATTGCAAAATGAGTCTGTTCATTGTCTCAAACAAATCTTCGCTTGTGATCTTTCTCTCCAGATGAACACGATAGTCTCTGGCTTGGTGGTTACCGGCAGAATGGAACCGATAGGCAATGTAGCAAAGATTCGTCCGGTGGAGACAATGAAAGTCACACCAATCGCGATGGCCTGTTGCTGTGCACGAACATTTGTGAACCCGAACCTTCTCAACCACGACTGGTTGACCGTTGGCATTCCCGCTGGCCCACGGGTTGGTCACATTTGCATAGCAAACTCCGACCGTCACAATTGAGGTGGTTGGGAACCGCCGGCGAGGGAAACCAGTCCGAATGGCCGGAACAGCTTTGTCCCGTGAAACTATCGGGTATCACAGGTCAATGCGATGTGCTGATGCATTGCATAACTTCAGCGGGTGACCTGGTGGTTTATTTTGCGTAAGTATTATTATGCGGTTAAATTAGTCAGATCACCTTTGCCTTACAGTTTTATTCGTGAATAGTGTTGTTAGTTAGGTGATATTGATTCGGAACTACCATTCTTCAGACTTCACGCACAACTCTGAGTTCATGCAGTCAAACGTACACGTAGGAAGCACTGGATTCAAGCCTCCTTCGGTTTAGAGCTTATCAATAAAGCACATTCGACAATCCGTTAGAGGGTTTGAACTCTGGACCGCTCACATGGAAGGCATGGTAGTTAACTTAAGAGAAAAATGCTATCCGGTCCGTTGCACATGCAGCGGTGAGATATTCTGAAAACAACAGTTTTTGTATCTCGGAATTACTGACCACATTGTGCCTCTATCAGGTCCAATCTAGGTCTTCGTTTGATCAACTTCACGACAAGTCTTGAAAATCATCATCTAAACTTGTAACATGAATCTGTGGAAGGATGCATCTGATATGTGTGTCATTGTTATCTATTCATGCGATCTGACAACAAAATTTACCGCGGAAAGTGGTCAACTCATCCTGGATAGGGCATGGGATGCATCAAGCAATTTTTCTATCCTTTTCACATTTTCCTCCTACCCGCAGTTATTTAAATTCAATTGTCCAGATTTGTCAACCTCACGTGTCTCCTGCAATGTGTCTCTACCAACGGTTAAGTTCACATCGAGTTTGTTATGCTTAACGCCTTCCTTCTTTGAGGATAGGAACGACGACCAACGTCTCACGAGTAATCTGTTCCACGAATAAGATCAACAGTCAATAGTATTCGATCACTAGGTAACCCAGTGGCATTATGTATGTGTGATCCTGTGATATTCAAGTTAGTTTGCTTATGGTGATGGTTTTGATGTTTAAAATCGAACGCTTGCAGTTGAGGACATGGTTCCTAATTGGTTTTCTAACTAGCCTCACGGCTGACAGAGAATACCCACCGTAGTTATTTATTCATTAATACTCCTATGACTGAAATGCCCCTGGTTAGGAAGAATACAAGTCACTNAGGCTCAGTGGGTGAAGTACAGATCAATAATCATAAGGCCTATCGATACTGGTAAGGTCGATAGCAAGATCGACCAGCCATGCGAGCGAGCTGCGGCCGGATTTGAGCTCTCATCACAAATACCGTTGATTCTGTTCAGCCTGCATCCCACATCCAACATATTGTTTGTGATCCACTCCACTCAGGCCTCATTATTGATCAGTATCGCCAAACCTCTTGCTCACGTCCGTGTCTGTGTGTTGCCCATAGAATTGGTTATTGCTTGATGCATTATTCCATAGCTGTGGAGCTGTTCGACCGGTGTACCAACACTGCCACTAGTCCATTTGATCCATGCATTGACGTGAGCTGATGTTCCCACCCGGAGTGTATTGATGCACTTGTCTTCATAAACAGACAGACCCACAGAACACATTTCAAACAAAAACACAGTGACGAACAAGCTCGCTTCGCATGATTGGTAAACATGACGCTGCATGACAATATGCTGGGAGGGGGGGGGGCGGAGAAAATTGCCTTGAGAGGAAGGAGAACTCCATGTCATCCATTACTAGGGGACGAATTCATCTTGTGACCTAGTTTATACAGTGCATATCGTCGTGCACAGGCTTTAATAACTCGTAAACTGAAAAGCCAAGAAGCGCTCTATAGAACACAAGCATACTGGACAATTGATCGGACGGTTTTCCTCCTTTTCTTCGTATGCGCGATGGTTTCAGGTTCGTAATTTTTCCAACCACACTTCTTCAGAACACAGAAGATTCCCAGATACACATACCTGACGAACGGAAAAGATCGTAAAACCGGTCGTGTGCTTCTGAGGAATTTTGTCTAGTCATCCATATACAACATGTTGATCGAGAATCAAAGAACCCGATGGTGATTGACCTCGGTTGACCGGGTAAGTAAGTAAAACACGTCAGGATGGATCGATAAATCAGTCAACTTGCTCAGGCGTGAATTTCGTCATGATCTTTAGCATAAATAGGTTCGGTCTATGGACCCTCAAGAGCCCATTAGGTAAATTCCATTGAGACCGACGTTCCCTCGGAAAACCGCTTCTTTCGAACTAAGTGCGATTTCCTACATATTTTTGGCACACTACAAGATGCTTTACAAGGGTACAGTGAAAGGTTTAGCAATATTTCACTAGAATAGTTACATTTTTCACCGTAGTCCTCGGATTGACAACTGAATTTCATCGACAATTAATCATCTGTCACTTACAGCTTCTCCCTTCATTACTAAGCTCCATCGCGTAGGTTCTTATCTTTGCTGCATCATTGCTCATCCTCATCGCATCTTCTCATAGCCTGATGACATCTGTGCGATCCGTACAGTTCAACGAGCAAGACAGGCGGTGGTAGAAAAAGAACATAATTATCCATGATCAATAATCTGTAACTCAATGTATTTTTGAAGGGACTAGGCTTTTCCTCAGAGTTACAGAATTTCTGGCCACTTGAAGGTGGAAATGTATATAGTTTACGCGCCGGTGTTGAGTCCCAATATAAAAACGAAACCGGTATCCAGCATTCTCGGTCCACCGTTACGTATAAAATTCCATCACAGACGGATTACATTCACGTGTGCTTAATCAACCGACTCTCTCAGCGGGCGGTGGTGGCTCGGTGGTAACGTCACCAAATTATCACCCCGGAGGACGAATGTTCGAATCCCACTACCACCGTGTGACTTTCCCCATTTGTGTGTTGTATGGCAGCCCTCTGATTGGCCGCTTCTCCCTTCCTGAAAAATTGTATCTTTGTATATTCAATAAAAGGAAGTAAAATGAAAAGAAAAAGAAGAATTTACATGAACAAATGTACCGTTTTTATCTAATCTATTTTCGACGACGAAACCTCGTATCAAATCGCTTTGTTTATTGACAGCGCAACTTCATCTACCGAAAACATGCATGTTTTTATTACATATTTTATACATATGATGGACAGCAACTCGGGATAAACCCAGTAGTCACAAGGACCTGGTTATGGAAACCGGCAACCTAAGCACCGGGACTTGGGATGGTGAACCACCTAAGTCTCACTAGGTTAGTCGTGGTATTCAACCGGATGACAGAAAATCAGCCTATGACTAAAACTGGGTATTAGTGGTTGGGTTCTATCTATCTACCGCACCGAAACAAATTCGATTATTTTTGTTAATATCCTCCAATTGCTGTTTGTTCAGATTTGTATCCCTGTCATTTCATGTATGAACCATTTGTTTTTAGCGCATCACAACCAATCTGCTTACTGAGAACTCGTTTGCACAATGGACGCTCCAACAACCCGCACATGCACACAGCCAATCCGTCTGTATCACCATCCTCCCGACCTTCCTGGTTCGAACAACGGTCTCTCCTCTTATCCCTCCGTCCTTCTGTCCAACGCGTCTCCTCATCCAAGGTCAATTCTAAAGTGACGGTTGTGCACTATCAGCTGATCTGTGTCAGATCTGGACAGATCGGGCTGTTAGAGCTTCAAAGTAAATGTGAAGGGGATGCGATCGATCGTGTTCGGTTATTGCATACCGTGTGGATCTCAACCCCGGATAGTCCAAGTTCTATTTGCTGTGGACTTGTGGTTCCGGTCACATCCGATTGCTCGGACTCGTTCGAGTAGGTTGCACGATACCCGAGCATAAAGCAGTCTTTTGTCAGTTCTATCTAAGTCGCATATCACTATTCTTATATGCACTCAGTTTTCGTTACAGTCGGTATGTTATAATTCTACAAGGCGGTGCTCGGTCGAGCGAAGTTGTTTATTGCAGAAAACCGTTAGGTTATCACTAATTTAGCATGCGTATAACGGAAATCTCATTTGAAACATATCATCACAGTTCCTGGAGGTACACTGGGTAATGCATGATGGAGCAGTCGGCAGTTATTCGTTTAGACACAGTACTTTGTCCTCGGTGGTCTTGGCAATTTTTGATCGTTGAAAGAAACCAACAATCGCACTATTTTGCATCCTACTCACAAATGTGGGTAGTACCTCACAATAAGTAGAGCGCGGAATCGAACACCTACAAAGCGGAGCATCACACAAAAACAAACCGCTTGAACAAATAGTCTGCCGGTAAAAGTGAGGAGCCATGTATTCACTAGTAGTCAGGCGGGCGTGAGTATCTGTTTGTAAATAAGCGCGAATACTTGTGCAATGTTCAAAACTGGGATAGTTGAACATGTCCGTGACGAAACTGAGGTTGATGCACGTCTGGTTACTGATTTCAGTTTTTATCTTTTTTTAAAATGCAACTCCTTTCAGTAGTTTAATAGTCACAGATTATTCGTAGTAGTTCCACTGTTATTGACCGGTGCTTTGATCCGACTTGTGTCTCAAAACCGACTACCTATTTCAATTTCTCTCCCGGACAATTTGTCCAAACGACCAAAGCGCATCCCCAGTGCGCTGCATCCGTTCAGGCACTACAATATAGACACTTCGAAGTTTAAAGTCAAGCGGCGGCGGTGGAGGTGTTGGTGGGATTTGAACTGACCACACACAACGGTGCTTTTAACCGCTTGACTACCATCGCCCAAATCCATCACGACGAGACTGCACCTTGACGTGGTGTGATAGCTTGCGTGCCTCCATGACCCTGCAGGCTACACAGGATGGCTTTTCACAACCGTAGATCCAATCATGCCTGAAAGGTCAACGAGTAGAGGCCAGACGAAGCTCAGTCTCACAAGCCAGCTGCTTGGGCACTTCCTGGCTTCTTTCTTCTATCCACACCCGCCCCTGGAGAGATCACTCCAGTAAATAAACACGGTGAGGGGCAGTTTACCGGTCGAAAAACCCCCGC